CTAGCTTGGGAGTATGTTAGTGTTGATTAGTTAATGAATCATCAGTATTCTTTTGTAATAGACAGGAATTCATTAGCAGGATGTTTTTACTGAATACTTTCCTTTGTTTTCTAAGATAAGCTTAATTTAAATAGGGGTTCTGATGTAGAGAACAAAAAATGTGAATGTAAACCAAACATTTGTTAGTTTTTAATGATGTCTTCTAGTATTAAGATGATGTTCTCATCTCTCTTGCTAATAGTTTTTCCTAACAAATTAGTAGTTGCAGTAATATTTTGAATTCGTATGGAGGTTTTTTTAGACATTAAAAAAAACCCACCACAATTTAAATGTCAGAACATAAACAGGATATCCTGGGCTAACATGATGAGACTGTGTATGTTATACTTCTTTTACATGTGTGCATTACAGAAAAATCTATGCTATGAAGTAATACAAAAGGTATTTGATCATTTTAAAAGCAATTTTTGAAAAATACATTCTGTCTCCAGCATCACCAATGCCTCTCTTCTGTAATAAATCCCAACAAGTGTTTTCCTGGGTTGGCCTCATCACTTTTGAGGATGAAAATAGCAATTCAGCAATTACTTCCAAAGGAATTAAAAATATTCTCTCTCTGCCTGCCATCTCTTCACTATTTCTTGATTTTTGTAATGTTTTTCAGAACTCTAAATGCTTGTTAGGGTGAGAATTGCTCAGGGCACAAATGTTGAGAGCAGGAAAAAAAGTTTTACTTCTGCAGATTACAAACGAGAGCTTCTGCTACTTTTTGTCAATGTGATTATAAAGAGATGGAAATGATTAGGGTAGAGAAGATACTGATGAGTCGAAGGGGTGGGGGGAAGTTTGCAGGCTTTCAGACAACCAAGAATTTTTTCAAGTCTAGATTAGGTGACATACCATAAATCAGTTTAACCCCCCTGCTCTCGTAATAAATTCTTAAATATTCTCCCTACTCCACACAAAACCTTCTGCACTCTGCAGTCTCACTGTGTTAGGGCTGAATAGGGTGTCCTGGACTATCTCACACTGTGCTTTTCCTTCATTCAAAACATAACCATGCACTCTTTTATTAAGATCCACTGTATTCTCCATGTACCAACTACCTTCCTCAGATTATTACGTTTAGAAGCAGTTGTTATCATCTTCGTTTGGGCTTTCCAGTTTTATATTTCCAGTCTGAAGAAAAAGACTTAACAGCTTGTTGTATTTGCTCATTTGCTTGTTTTCACACAAACTTGATTGTATTTCCTCCTTTTTTGACTTCCCTCTATAGTGAACACTTTTGTCTCTCTTACTTTTCCTCTCCCCTTTTTGGAATGCCCTTGCTTTTACTCCTGTATTGAATGGCTTAACATACTGTCTGCAAACCTTATCTCACATCATCCTTAAATCATCATGGCTACAAAACCAATAGAACAATGTATTACTGAATTTTGTTTGAAAACAGAACTGCATACTTGTGATCTTCAGTGTTATGATTTATTATGGATTTTGTTCCATATAAGTTATGCTTATAAGTGATGAGGTGATATCCTTCATAAAATCTAGGCTTTGAGCCTTGGTCTACAGGCATTCAGGTCATTCTGATTTTCAGTTGTTTTTTCTCACCAGCGGTTCATTCTTGGGAACAGAAGCAACAGAATAAAATCTGTTTGTACATATGCTGCTCCATTTCAGTGTGTTTTCCTACAGGCCAGCATTTTACATAGAAGCTTATATATTACATTATATTATTTTTATGTGAACTTTTGGTAGCACTTTTTAAATATTTCCCAGTCAAGGCCCAAAGAGTTCAGTAGTTCCACCTTTTATATGTGTGTAAATAACAGAAAATACTCATTTTACATTTTATTCTCAAATATTTTATGAAACTTAGAAATTCCACAAATATCCCTATTTGCCATTTGTACCTCTCCACCACTTCTTCATTTCATATTTTTGCTCTCTGAGACTTTATTCTGATTTTTCCTTTGAAAGCTTTTATATGCCAAATTTATTTTGCTGTACTAGCAGATAAATAAGTTTTAATAGTAATGTTCTTCTTTTGGTTAAACAGCCTGCCAGTAAACATATCGAGGAAAGCTTATAATCTTCCTTGCACACGTTGTGATCAGTAAGAAAAGTCCTTCTCGACACCCTGCCATAAGGCAGCCTGTAGCTGGCCAGTACTAGTTACGATGTTTGCGTTCCATCCACTCCTGCCTCAGATAAAACCAATTGTTGTCTTCTGAGAACTCTTAACTTCTAGAAAGAGCTCCTCTTGTCTGACCAAGAGCAGGACAGCACTCAATAGTCTCGTGCAACACTTTTTCGCATTGGGTGTTTTGAAATTTGTATGCTTTTTTCATTAAATCATGGTCATGTTTCCTTCCTTTTTAATGCCTTTCTACAGTAAACACTTTTGTCTCCATTTCTTTTCCTCTTCACATTTTTGAATATTTGTAGCAGGATCATTTTTGCCTCATGGTGATTAAGAGTTTGAGGATGATGTATGCTGTGTAGACATGGCACTAGGGACATGGTGCAGTGGTGGAGCTGGCAGTGCTGGGTTAGTGGTTGGACTCGATCTTAAGGGTCTTTTCCAACCTCGATGGTTCTGTGATTCTGTGCCATTTAATACTTTGACTCTTGAAATAAGTGCTTGATATGCATAAATTGATACTGCCTTTTTTTCATCTTGAGTGAATTGCTGTTTGCAAGCAGTGCCTTTAGTAGGTCTTTGCTGCAGTGGAATCTCATGATACTTCAAAAAATGGCTGCAAGAGAGCAAACAGCTGAATTATCTACATGGCTGAAAAAATAGGTGGTAACTACCAGCACCTGCCGTGAATATTTTGTCTAACTTCCTATTGCCTGTGCTACTATTTTACATATAGTGAACGCTGTGTTTGGAGTGATTCTGTCTATTCAAAATTATTTTTTAATGTATTTTTAAAGATTCAAAATAAAAGCATAGAAGTTTTAAGAGGAGAATAGTTACTTCCATATCCTGCTTGGTCCCTGGTTTTCCTCCTGAGTGTGGTGGAGTAGTTTAAGTAGTGAACTACTGAAACTGTCTTATAATGTTGTTATGCTAAAATCCCTGCAGCAGTTTGCCTAGTCTTTGCTTCAGAATTTCTTTGCCCACATAGGAAGGGTGACATTTCAGGTTACTGTAGCATAAAGATTTGTGGAAAACACCTCAATACAGAAACGTACATAAAATTCCACCATTAGCAACGTGTCTGTAGACGTATGGTCTTGTCCTCTTTGCTCAACATGTTTATTTAATAATAACACTGCTGCTGAGTTGTGTCCTGATAACAAAAAGGAGTTGTCCAAATGGGAATTTGCATGTAAGAATTCGATGTGTATGAATTTGCATTTAGTTACTGTGTGCGTAGCTGTGCCTATGAACTGCATCTTGTTATGAAACTTGTATGAAAGCATACAAGGAGTCCTTTGAACAAGGAGATGATGTGGCTAACCTCGTAAGAACTCGCTAGGTCACCGTTTCTGTTTCCTCAGATCGACAAGCCTTTAACAGACCTGTTTAATGCTCGATGTACCCTAGGGCATTAGGGGAATTACATGGGAAGGGAATACCATAAAAAATATTTGAAATTATTGAGAACTTTGGGTTATAAAAGTGGTTATTCTCTAGACCTCTTAGAGAGGAGGGTGAGGGGGCAGAACCCAGGGTGGAAAAGTTGATTACTTGCATGAACTCTGGGGGAATTTGTCGTCTTGAGAAAAGGTTCTTGAAAATAGATCTGTTGGTTGTGGTGCTTCACCAACCTTCTCTTGCAAAATTGTTGTGCATCTGTCTCCTCTTTCAAGCTCAGCTACTAAAAATCCCTTCCTGAACTCACTACTGTCTTGCCTTGTTTGTGGGAAATTTTGGCTCTTTGGTTGGTGTGGTATGCTCTTACTGAGGTTCTTGTCTAAACAGTTCAGGTGCCACCAGAATAAACGCTGCATTGTAAAAACAGACCTGTTGACACTGTCATTTGCAAATTCACTTGAATATATCTGTGCATGAACAGTTACTTAATTTGCTAAGCTTTTTGGCATTTCAAATAACAGCACAGCATTTGGCTTTGAACTCCTGAGTACGTTCGGTGTGGAGATACCTAACGTCAGCCATTTGCTTCAGGTCACAGGTAGTCAAACGTGTTGTAAAGCAGCGTTTTACTATTGCCCAGTATTTCGTAGATTGGAGGATTTATGGGTTAACAAGCAATATTACTTTTGTTTCTAGAATTACGCTACAGCAGTATAAGGGTAGGTTGGAGGTTGCCTTGTACTAGTGGAAAAAGGCTGATCTTGTCTTGGAGCCTGAAGAACTGTGTCCTTTCCTTACCTCTGTATGACCGTTGGCAGATGATTTCCAATATTGGCATATTAGCTCCCCTGCTTCCAGAATTTTAGAAAACTGGTCTGCTTCACAGGAGTGTGAGGCAAAACTAATAATTTGAACGTGCAGGGTACTCAGCCCATTTTCTGTAATGTAAAAACAGAAATTACTAGAAAATGTAAGGTGGTGGAAAACAGGATAACTCTGTGTTATGTTTTACCTAGAAGCATATAAAAGGAATTAACGTGTCTGGGTTTTAGTTCATTCTGCAAAAGTATTGGGGGGTGGGGAGTGGGGTGTTCAAACTGCAAAAAAAATTGAGGGGGGATACATCACGTTCCTGGAGTTGGTGCGCAGAACAGTTGGCCTGTTAATTACCATTGTGCTGGCAGAAAGAATCTTTAGAGTGCAGTTGCTTTTTTTATTGCTTTTGCAGAAAGATTCTAATTTCATTTTTTCTGTTCCTAAATACGTTTCAAGAGGTTTCTAAGCTGCTTCCCCTGGGAAAAATGAACAGTTTAATATGCTTTGTGAAACTTGCCATCTGTTGGTCACTTGAAGTAGAATATCACCTTGGTCAGGACTATTTGTCCTGGTTTCTTTCTGTACCTTAAGGAATCACATTTAATAGACTGAGATTTACTGCTTTTTGTATTCACAGGACTGTGCTAAAAAATAACGACTTGAGATCAAGACAAGAATTAACTACTCACCTCACCAATCAGTGGCCTTCCCCAGGAGCTCTGGATGTCAATGCTGTTGCCTTGGACACTCTACTCTATAGAAAGCACAATCAACAATGGGATGAGTAAATTAAATATTTATTTTGATTCACCCTTAGAGGAACAGGGAAACTCAAAATTATACATTTCCATTAGCATACTCTGAAATGTACCGTATTGGAATTACCTGTTACAATGTATGAGGATAAGCTGGCAGAAAAAAATCATTCTCTTGCTTACTATAAAAATTTTCTTCCTTTGGGCTAATTTTGAAAAGAAAAAAAAGGGTATCATTGCTTTAGAGAAAGTGTTTTAGGAAGCAAACAAAAAACCATGGAGTGTTGAAAGAAGAGAGGTCAACTGCCTAGGTTTTCTTTAGGAAACTTTTTAAGGAGAGTTGAAGATACCTAGTTAGATCTTTAAAGGTGTTACTATTAAATATTACTTGCTTTGCAGGAAAAGTTTTCAAAGTCTGGACCAGCTTTCAGCAGAAGTTAGTCTTTCTCAATCCTCTCTGGATCCAGGTCACTCACAGGATGGGAAGCAGGATGGAATGAGCTTGTTAAATGAAGGTACAGAGCCAGTCTAGTGGCTTCATTTTTTTCTTCTTCATAGCTCTGAGCTTCAGTGCCTGTAAGACGACTTTTCAGTGTGAACAAAATATGCATTGAACAGCATGTTGTTTCATTGTTACGCAAATGGCTTCAGTTTCCCTAAGGACTAGACTTCAAATCAGTTTGGCTTTATGAAGATGCCCAACCCTCCACCCCAATAATTACTTGACTTTGTGCTGTATTTAAAGTGAAGCTTCAAATATGTTGTGTATCTTCCATCACAGAACCAGAGACAGCTCAGCTACAAGGAGGTTCTTCTGTCATCTTTCTGCTATAACCAGCTCAAATCTTTGGAGTTCTTGAAGTTGCCTTTTTATTTGTTTGTTAAAAGAAAGAGTAAAGGCACTGGATTTGAGCTGCCACTGTCATTCTTACGTCTTTCACTCAACATTTATCTGTGGATTAAAACGGAAACAGTGTCTCTGTTACAAGAGAGAGAGGAACACACTATGAACCATGCTAGTATATAAATGTGAGGTACACATGTCCCCTTTCGAAATATGTAACTTACTAAAGTTTAGTTGCTCCATCTTGTGGGCAATTGTGAAAAGTAGAAAAATGCTGGAAGACTTCTGAAATTCCTGTAAAAAAATCCTTTTTGTATCTCATCAAATGTTAACTTTAGATCAACTTGATGATACACAGCCTTAGTAGTTCATCATGGTAAAATTTCTTGTTTTTAAAATATCAAGGTTGTAAAATTTAAAACTTTTTTACAAACTGTAAACAGTCTTATCTAAATTATTTCAAGTTAGCTTAGAGGGACTGAATAGAATTATGAAGAAAGTGCTTGTGCAGATCTCCTTGCAGCTGTGTTTTTGCAATATTAATCTTTTGGAGCTATGCTTTGATTTATCTTCTGTAAATTAAAGTGTGTCAAAACCACTGGTCATAACCGTTTGGGTTTTGATTTCAACACTGTCTTTAAAGGTAGCGTAATATCTCGCTTCTAAATTATCAAGGTTCATCGGTACCTAAGGTTTAATGTAATTTTGTAAGACACAGCACACGATCCTGCTGTTAAAGTACCTCTGCTCTAACTCTCAATATGGCAGTTCTAAATAAAAGATTAGAAGCAGTAAACTTTCACATTACTATTAAGCTCACTCGTGTAGTCAGACTTTTAGCTTTACGCTTGTTGGCATCAAGGTCTCTGCCCAGACACTGCTCTTTGAGTATTTTATGCCCTCAAATTGAATGAGGTCTTTAAAGGGTAGTTTTTACGGGAATAAAGATTTTTCTAAAAGTAAAGACTTTTTAGAAGAGCTGGTCTAATTCACTCTTTAGGGAAAGCTATTCAGTCACTTGAGAAAAGCTCAGTAGAGGTGAGACCTAAAATCTACTGTAAACTGCTAATAAGACCCATAAGTGCTGCAAGAGAACTACATCTCACTTATTTTTTTCCATAATGAATTCTTGGGCAGGGTGCGGTTTGGGTTGTTTGTTTTTTTTCTTACATCCTTCTCATGAGAAGAAAACTCTTCTGCCAGGAACAGAAGAGACAATGTTAAGAAATGCTACTTTACAGATGTGATTGTAAAACATTCTGGTAGCCTGGCTTATCAGTAAAACTTTGTGCCTGTGACCTTTTTAAGTTCGTTTTAATCTCTAGTTTAAGCTGATGTTTTCTATTTTGCAGGTGAGCCAGGGGGATGAGATAGGTAGATGCTGGTAGATCACATTCTTTATGATGTAATTTATTAGTGGAGTTGGCACAAAATAACTTGAATGGATATTCTGGGAAGGGAAGATGTAAAATAAAGAGAAATTGTCCAATGCGGTCTAATACCTCTAGGTATGTTTCATGTGAGCTGTGCAGTGTATTTGGCTGACAGGGCAGGTACTGACACTGCCGCTCCTGCACTGCAGGGCTTTTCCCAGCGGTCGGAGCCTAATGCACTTCAAATTACCCAGTTAAAATAAACATGTTTTGTGTTTTATAAAGAAATATATCCTGATTCCAGTTAAGTCTATTCCTTTCTGAGAGATTTAAAATTAAATCTCTGGTACTGATGTTGCATTAGTAACCTCACTTACATTTATGTATAGTGCACTCGACTAAATCCGGTGCTCGAAGTGGGAACTTCGGTTCACCAAGTAGTCAGGGGAGCCTCTGAATCTCCCTCCGTGGGAGATTGGCTCCAGGCCAGCCTGGCATGTGCGGGTGGGGATCTCTTTACCACCTAGGCAGGGAAAGTAGGGCATAAATTCCGTGTTTTCCTAATGAAGAATGCATGTGCTGAAGCAGGACTGTGTAATTCGTCATAGTGTAGGTGGAACAGCTTCTTCTGCCCCCCCCTTTTTTTTTTTTTTTTTTTTTTTTTTTGTGGTCAGGTCATCTTGTGCTGTAATGTTATTACCTTAATTCTTGTTTTTCTTAACAGGAAAGGAAGACACTCCATCACTGCTTGGTCTTTGTGGCTCTCTTACATCAGTAGCAAGCTATAAATCTCTCACAAGTCTGAAATCGAGTGAATATCTTGCAAGTCCCACAACAGAGATGACAAGTCCAGGATTAACACCATCCTGAGATACTTACGAGAAGGAAGAGCTTTGTGTCATATGCTTTTGGTTTGTGTTCCATAAAACGACTTGCAATGAAGACTACTAGTTCTGAGTTAAAAAATAAGCTGCTTTATTTTTTCTTTTCACGGTTACCCATTTATTTCACAAATTCTGTCAGTTTTCATTCAAACTTCTTTTTCCTGCAGAGGACTTTTCAGATTTTCTATTTTAGGTCTTGAAATATTTAAAGCTCTTGGTCAGGTACAGGACATATAATCTGATGCTTATGACTTATTTTTAAAATGAAACAGTTGGAAATCAGTTCCCTACTTAACTGCCATGACTTCTGTTTCTCCTTGCAATGGCCTGGCCCTACTCTAGCCACGGTGCTTCTCTGCAGTGCTTTAAATATCTGCCGACTTGCAGAACAGGCAGGGAATCCTTAATGCCAGCCTTTGTAGGCAAATAAATATTTTACCTAAAAATCCAGCTTTTCATCTGTGTATGTTGTGCAGGACCTCAAATAGCATATTTAATCTATCAA